CCCACAGAGAAGGCCCTCCCCCTTGGGGTCGCCAGCCGGCACTGTCTGGCTGACGGCACCCTGAGGAGACCCACTCTGTGGGAGCGTACAGGTCGGTGGGAGGTAATCTGTGGCAGGAGGCGGTCTCGAAGGTAGCCAGGTCCGATGCCATGGAGCGCTTTAAAGATGATAGTCAGCACCTTGAAGCGCACCCGGAAGGTGCGCTTCAATAAACGTCTGTTAAGACTTATGGAGGCTCGATGCATTTGCACTGTTTTAGAGGGCAAAGTAATAATGCTTCCCTGAAGATCTATAATTTTGTAGCTGTGTTTGAGTGAAGATCTTTGGGTTGTCCAAGAGCCACCGATTATTTCCCTTTACAGGTTTTTATAGGAAGGCAAAAGGAGTTCCTGTCCCTAGCACTAAAGTGTTAGGAAGGTTATAATTAGGTTAAATGTAACCTGGTTGCCAATCCAGCATTATATTCCCATAGTGAGAACAAAAGGCGTCTGGGGAGGAGACATAACCCTATATGGTCTTCTTTGGAAAGTGATACTCTCATACAGTGGGGATGATACACAGCCCTTGCAATGTGACCATGCAGCTTTAATGATAAAGAAAGGGGCTTTGATTATTCAAGTTGTTTCCTATTCAGAATGATCATAAACAAAAGAATGAAGAGCCCTGGTGGTGTGGTGGTTAGAATGCAGTATATTGCAGGCAAACTCTACCCACAACCTGGAGTTCAATCCTGACCAGCTCAAGGTTGATTCAGCCTTCCATCCTCCTGAGGTCAGTAAAATGAGAATCCAGATTGTTGAGTGCAACACGCTGACATTGCAAACCACCCAGTGAGTGCTGTAAAGCATTATGGGACAGTGTATCACCATGATAAAACATCAGGACTTCAAGAGAAGGTAGGGGAACTGGAAGCAATAAACGTTATGGTTTAGAGCAGGAGTAAAACACCATCAGGCTTTCAGATGTTGCATTCCAGCTTCCAACTCCATTCCTTTGCTTCAGTATCATTTTACTTTTTTTTGCCAGCAATGCAGATTAGGTTTGTCTTCATGCAAAGTTCAGGCAGGAAGTCCTAGCAGACAGAAAAGCCCCTTCTTGCTTATCTCAAAAAGCATGGAGGCATTGGAAACACGATGATCAAATATATGAAAGAATCCATGAAGAATTCTGAGAGTGTTCAACGAGAACATCTAGGAAGAAATCTGTTAGTTGAATGGAAGCCATTATACCATCCTATATACAACAGAACATGACAGAAGAGATGATCTCCTTCCTTGGAGGAAATCATTTTCTTGAGCCTACATGCAAGAAGTAGATGTATTGGTTAGCCTCCCCACCTCACCCTATTATTCAGTTTGTCCCAAAAACCAATAATGTTTGCAAAGTTAACAGATAGGGAGAGTAAAAGATGAACTGAGCTGAGAAAATTGGGGGTTGATCCAAGTTGGAATGGAGCATTATTAGAGGAGAAGGGGTCATTTGAAACCAGTGCCAAAATTTGTGAGAATCTTTGCCTACAGGAGTTCAGTTTTCAATTTGCATCTTAGACTGCCTCTCTTCGTTTACTACTCTAACCTTTCCTTTTTTTGCCTTCTGTTTTTCTCTAGGAATTTGTCTTATTTTGCTACACACCACAGCCCCTCTGCGGTCATTTTGGACTTATGGGAAGCCAGACACCAGCACGATGGTGACTTAGACTCTCTAGCTTGTGCTCTGGAAGAAATAGGAAGGACACAATCCCAAATTTCTAACCTTACAGAAACTCAGATGGAGGAATCCAACTTCAGCTACAGCAGACAAAATGGACTTTAGCCATTGCTTTTCTTTCAGAGAGTCAAGAGCAAGCTTGCACTGGAATGGAGTTCCTGTTCACAGGGAAGAAGCCACACGTCCTGATTTCACCCCATGCATTTGCACCAACTTTCACTCTGTGGGTCACTCCTTCTGCCCTCAAGCCACGTCCCGTTTGGAGGAACAGAAGAAGCTGGTAAACCACAACTATTACACAGAGACTTTTCTATGCTGGACAAAAAGGAAAAAAAAAACACCCCCTCCCCCCTCCACACACACACACACACATACACACACTTGCATGTACACAAACAAATTCTGTGCTTGTGTGCTAACAATCCTTGAGACACAAAGTGTGTATGAATACACAGTGCTTCAAACAAGCAAAGAAAATATGAAATTGTTGCAGATGCTTGGAATTGTCTTTGTGTGTGTGTGTGTGTGTGTGTGTGGAGCAAGGGGGCGTGTTTGAGTTGCTTGTTTTTTGTTTGTTTAATCAACTTACAGGGTTAGTTTGTAACTTAAAAATAGGAAGCATGAAGTCTCTTTGATGACTATGATCATATGGGGGGCATAGGCAAGGATTTGAGGTTACTGCTGACACCAATGGTAGAGAATGCACAGAAATATATTGCTATGTTTTGGACTAATTTTGAGGGCTTAGAGCTAAGCAAAATGTTTCCTGAAATATATTTTAAAACCTATTTCTGAAGGTTTTCTCTCTTTTTTATCCATTTGGATAAAAATGCTAGTTGCATAGTTTTCTTTAGAAATATTGTCCATTTTTAAAGGATAGAGGTTATGAACGTATACATTTTTTAAAAAAAAATGGCCTTGGGTGGATGGAGAAGAAGGAACAGTTTCCCGACTTGAGAAAAAACTGTATTTTTACTAAATACATTCATTCTAACTGAGAAATTCAAGAGGTTATGTAAACAGAACTCTAAAAAAAATGTTATTGATGATTCAGTTTTATTTGTGTTTAGGTTATGTGGAAAGCAGCAATTTAAACCTTTTCTTTTGCGAAAGAGGCATCTGATACACCACTTTAATATCAAAATACTTGAGAATTTATTTCAAATTTGTCTTGATATGCTTTTCCGCTGATTTTATAAGTAATGGATGGACTCTGTTTGGTGGGGGGGATTCAGATATGTGAACAACCGGTTCTCGGTGTGGATGCCGCTTCCAGAAGTCCATTCTGGGCCTGGGCAACAAAAAATTAGCTACAGGTTCTGCCGAAATGGTGCAAACTGGCTGAATCCCATCACTGGCTCTATTACTGGGATTATTTTCTATGATATGTCTCTCTACATCCAGCCTCCTGAAAAAGATCCATGGTTGGAGTTTTCTCCTGGCATTTTTCCTTGAGATTTGTTTGTTGTGTGTTGCCCAGGGTCTCATGGTTTGAGTTGGGTGACCTTATACATCTCATATATGAAGTATAAAAAGTCAGGGAGGTTGCAGACCTCTGAAAAAATGATTGTATAATAAAGGATAGAGCCTTTGGTGGTCTCAGAACTGAGTAAATGAAAGGGCTCCATGTTCCAACTGTGAGAATGCGTCTGAAATTCTCTTTTCCATTGAACACTTTATCTAAAGCCAATTCTCTTTCCTCAAACGAGTGAGTACTAGTAGAAATAATGCAGGAGAATACACATATTTTCTTTTCTTTCTTTTTTTTCATTCTAAAAGCATTTGCTATAAAGATGGAGATATCCCTGATTTTATCTGAGCAGTGGTGGTCAAAATTATACACAGCTCTTACTCGCCTTATTATTGCCCTGATCAAAATCAACATCTGCTGATATTACACAAAGGGCAGCCTTTGCTACTTGGTTTTTTTTTTTTGTTTTGTTTTTTGAGAAGGTTCTTCATAGCAGGCAGCACCAAAGGAATTGCATCAAACTATGATTGTTTGGTTATTTGATTATTGGTTTCATAGTTGAAGTATTTTTCATTATGTGCATTGGTAAGATGGGTGCCCTTCAAATAATATACAGAGCAGAGATTTTATACTTTAAGACAAGGGTCTTCAAACTTGGCCCTTTTATGACTTGCAATTCTGGGAGTTGAAGTCCACAAGTCATAAAAGGGCCAAGTTTGAAGACTCCTACTTTAAGAAGTCCACACTTCTTACTTATATCTTTGGTTGATGCTCCTGGGTAGTAAGGAAGGTGAAAGAAGCTGTTCAGTAGAAGAAATGGGTCAATTATAACCAGAGTCAATGAATTTTAGATTTTTTAAGAAAAAGTGAGTACAGTAGATTATATAAATTACCTTCCAGAAGTTCAGTCTCCACCATCTCCAGATTGGATTGGCAAAATTCTCTAAGACTCCAGAGAATATTTTACTGTACTATCAGTCGGTCAAACGTAATGGATTAGATGATCCAAAACTTTGACTTTGTGCAGTTGTCTTCCCATTTCCTTAAGATACATGCTCAAGAAACTGTTCTGACTTAGAGTTGGGTTGATTGAGATGCTTTCAAAAAGACATTGATCTGGCTCATTCTTTGTTGGTATAAAATCAGAAAGGCCCTAGAAAGCTTTTAAAAATATTTTAAATCTCTGTTAAACAGTTCTGTATAAAATCAAAGAATGTGCTTCTGCCAAATTCTCTTGCCCATAGTGTGTTAGATTCAGGCTTAAGAGACTTAGATTTGTTGAAGCCTTTGGTCATAAGTGATGTAAAATAATTGCCCCACTGTTTACAGTAAGTCTGCTCTAAATCATAGTTTGAAGTCATAGTTTTCTTCAAAGGAATAGTTTTTATTTTGTTTTTTTTTTTTAGAAAAGATGGCCTCTTCATTTGCTTTTGAGAAATTGTGACAGAATAATTCTTATAAATCATCTTTTTTTTCTTTCACTTCTGATTATTTGAAAATCAGCAATAGTATCAATCTTCTATTTCTCAAATTAGATGTTTGATTTTCGGTTGTTGCAGCTATCACCATTATAATTTTAAACTTAGCATGGTGTCTGTGGTTCTCTCTCCAGTTATACACAGAAGCCAGTAAAATATGCTATGGAAACAAGGGTCTAATGCCAGTCCTGATTAAATGAGGTTATAGATTTGTTCCTCCCTAGCCTTTCTAAATAATCTAACCACATCAGTCTTGCTGCTGAACATCTCCAAGAAATAAGATGCCCATTCACTAACGGGATTTCTGGGCTAAATTTTATCATACAACCAGATCCTCAGACAGAAAGCATTAGTACTCTCTTGGCATACTGCTAAATGTTATATTGATTTGGGTTTTTACATATGGTAGTGCAGTGGTGAGAATGCAATATTTCAGGCAAACTCTGCCCACAGCCTAGAGTTCGATCCTCACCAGCTCAGGTTTGACTCAGCCTTCTATCCTTCTGAGGTCAGTAAAATGAGGACTCAGATTGTTGGGGGCAAGATGCTGACTTTGGAAACCACCCAGAGAATGTTGTAAAGTATTATGGAATGTTATATAAGTCTAAGTGTTATTGCTATTTGTGCAGTCAAAGCTCACTAACACTAATTTTGTTATCATTCCTGCTACCTCTTTATTTACTGTTTGGGCTATTTAACAATAATAATGATAAAGTTGGAAGGGACCTTGGAGGTCATCTAGTCCAACCCCCTGCTCAGGCAAGAAACCCTATACCATTTTGGACAAATGGCTGTCCAGTTTCTTCTTAAAAACTTCCAGTGTTGGCGCATTCACCGCTTCTGGAGGCAGGTTGTTCTACTGGTTAATTGTTCTAACTGTCAGGAAGTTTCTCCTTAGTTCTAGGTTGCTTCTCTCTTTGGTTAGTTTCCACCCGTTGCTTCTTGTCCTGCCTTCAGGCACCTTGGAGAATAACTTGACTCCCTCTTCTTTGTGGCAGCCCCTGAGATATTTACACTTTGTGTCCATTTTGGTTCTACCTGCATTAGAAAAGCTTTGAGCCTTCTTAATTTTCATGGAATATCTTTCATGGAATAAAGGAAAGGAAAATGAATTGGGCTGCTCAACTTCCAGGGTAGTAATAAACATCCTGCAGACTGCAAGTATCTTCAGTAAAATGTTAAATTGTTAATGATCATTTCTGATGTTTCTCAAGAATTCAATGTTCTTTCTCCAGAGGTTTCTTCATAGGAGGGAGAGACAAAGGTGTCAAAAAGATATATATTAAGGAAATTAACTTGAGAAAAAATAATGATGCATGCACAATGCATACAAATGTGCAAATTAAGAAGAGGGTATATTTGCAATACAGTATAAATTATATTAAGGAAATATGATATATACTAAAGTACAAAATGTGCCAAAGAGTACACAGGTTTCCAACAGTTATAACTGGCAAGGACAATTTCAATGTCCTAAACTCCTATGCTTATTTTCAGCACATTTAGAACATGGTCGCTCTGCTATCCACACATTTGGCACTGATGCAGAGCAGTTCTTCAGGAAAATTTTTGGAACTGCTCTTCTTTGAAGGAGACTTCTAATTGGCTCAGGATGCCCCTTGCAAAAGAAAAGGCTGTATCCTCTAGTAAATCCATGGACAATCCACAAGCAGCTGTGACAAACCAATTCAGTCACAGTATGTCTAAACACAAATTAGGTCCCTGTACCACAGATGTTATCTGACCATTTTAGCCTGGTTTACAAGAGTCAGTTAAATTGACAACCTGAAGTGAAACTGTCCATCTCTTTCAGAGAGAGTGAGACCCTTCTGTCCAGTTTTCTTGATGGCACACACATCTTGAACCTTGATGTCAGATCACTTTGTCAATGGTGGTGGTCCTGGTGTCCCATTGGGACCATTTGCATTGGTCTTTAGAGCAGCCTGGATCCAAGACCAATAGACAGGGAAGGTTCAGCCAGATGTCCATGTGGAGATCAAGGCAGTAGCAGCAGGAAGTGGTGAGGGTGTCATCTTCTAAAGCATCTCCATTTGGCCAAAAGGGAAGCACCAAACCTGGTTCCGAGAGCTGTGAATAATCATCAAAAACAGATGTTGTTTAATTTAGATAACAACAAAGCCCTAATCTCATAAGGC